TTGAGCTGTGGGGATGACATCGTGTGCTCCTTAAGTATCTTGGTGAAAGCTGCTGTCTCTTCTTCCATGAAGGAAGCTGAATGTCAAATCCTGCAGAGAAGAAAATTGGATGTATTTTTATGAGACTGTAACAGAGTAAAGTCCACATGTGGCTATGGGGCTCCCTTCCTGCCCTGCCCATGCCCCGTCTTCATGGGGATGCTGCCTTCAGACCGTCACCAATGCAGCACCTCACCTCTTCCTAGGACTAAACATCACTTCTGAAGGCTCAGGATAACGGCCTTGAAGGATGGCAGGACTGTGCCTGTGCCAAGGCTTTCTGGAGATGCATCACTCTCTCCACTAACAAGTAAACACAACATTCGCCAGCAGATTCCCTATAAATCATTTTAATATCAGCAAGGACTTTGGTATAAGGTGGGATTTTCAGCATTCGTCTCTACTTTTAGCACCAGCCACGTGAACTTTAGCTTCATTGTTCAGTTTTATTTCAGATGACAGTATTCTCTGCAATTTTATGATATTCTTTCTTTATGACACATGAAGAAGACCAGAAGACATGGATTTGGTTCTGGTGCTCATTCTGACTTGGCTTTCATCTTAGATGTCTCTGTAATGTCCGGATGGTTTTTCTGGATGACTCACTTCAGATCTGAAGAAGTGAATTATGATCTCTCCCAGCCCTTACTGAGAGGGAGCGAGATGAATCTTTAATGATGACATTATTTCCCTCAAGGCTTCCTCAGGTATTTGAAGTAAATAAGTCACAATAAAATTTAAACAAATCTAATGTTTTAAACATAATAGAATATAAATTAATTCCTCCAAGTTGATTTTAATGATATGGTTTATCTGCTGGGAACTTACAGTAGGAATAATGCATAGAAGGAGAGAAAAGCTTTTAAAAAAAGTTTTAAGTGACACCAGAGACATTGCATTAGCTGAGTGATTGCTCTGGTGCCTGACCCTGCATCCATGCCATCGATGTCCTTTAGCAACCAGGTCCCAGCTGGGGAATTTCAGCATTTTTGGGTAATCAAGAGTGCTGACTTGAGGGCTGTAGGGACCCTGGCTGCCACAGACCTGGGTGGGAACCTGACTTCCCTCGCAGGTCTTCTCAATGGATATCTAAGGATCAATAAAAAAGATCATTTTTTGGTAGTGAAGTTTTCCACTTTTCACATCAGTGTATTTGTTCTGCAATGTTGTTTTATGGTGTTTTGAGGGAAGCGCTGGAGGTGCCTGGAGCCTCCAGAGAAGTTCATTTTGAGGTGGTGCTGGCAGCTCAGAGGGAATGGCAAACCCAGTCAGTGAGGAGTAAGCAAGGCTTGGAGCAGGGCAGGGGAGGTCAGAAGTGCTGACATGCATTTGAAATTTGTCAGCATATGAATAGTAAATGAATGAAATATGCAACTTTCATGACAAAAACTGGAGATGAGGCCAGGGCCAGTGGTCTAAAGTCACTCCAGCTCTGCCCAGTGTCACCCTGGGTGTTATCTAACAACCCCCCCAGCATGACAGTCGGTATGTGTCTAGCAAAGACCTAAAACACTGGAAAAATAGCATTATCCGTGGACTGCTTTCACATGTGTCTCAAGTTCTGTGCAAACCTCAGCTGGCTACAAACTGGGCTGTCCTGTGCATGCCAGATATTCACAGTGCGCTATTTTTCACCAGCACCTTCACCTTTGCAATCTATCTGTGTTTTAGCAAGCTGATTTACAAGTACATCTTTTCTGAATCATTATCAGAGCCGCCTGCCAGTTGGCCCGAGGCAGACATCCAGGCACTCGAGACTGGGAGAATCGGTTCCAGCTGCACTCCGTAATTAGGAAAACCCTGGTCTGTAGCCGGATGTCCAGATGCCTTGCCAAGGAGCATATCATTTGGTTCAACAAACAGTATTTGTGGGGAAAAAAAATAAAAAGAGTGAAGATGTAATAGGACAAAGTTCATCTGCCAGCAACTGCTTCTCTGTTCCCCATCGCATCTCCTGTTTGTAAGCTGGAGAGGTGGGCCACGGTGGGAAGGGAAGGTCTGGGGAAGTTAAACAAATCCTTGGGATTTCCACTCAGAAATAAGTTTCTCATACTCCCCACAGAGACGGAAAGTACTTGAAATGCCATTTGTTTCATGCTTTCGCACCAGGGAAAAACTGAACTTTGCATTTCATTGTGCAGCAAGAGTTACAGTGCAATGCGTTTTGTCAGCAACGAGAATTTGTGTGAAAACCCCGTACGTGACACATCTCAGCAAAACCCTTGTGCTCCTGAAGTGTCTTCATTGCAAACACAGACTCCAGCTCTTTTTAAAGGTTTGGGGTTTTCTTCGCTTGTTCTGTTGACATGAATTAACAAATGTGAAGCTTCCAAGAATAGATTTAATAATATCTATCATGAAAAATACCAGAGCGTTTGCCACCGATGCCATTTAATCTATTTCAACAACTAGATTAAATGACTTGCCAGAAGTTTGAGTGGTTTCCAACAATAGGATTCCCATGGTAATAGGAGAATATCATTGCACAGGATATGGTACAAAATGCAATGCAAAACTCCATTCCGGATGATTTGGCAAAGAAAATAAATATTTCTTCCTCCTCTTCTTCCCACCTCCCTTTGTCCTATCTCTGCTGCTCCAGAAACAGTCACTTTTTAAAGTGAAATAAGCAAGAATTAACTAATCTATTCTAAGGGTTCTGTGTGAAATTGGAAGGTCCCACCTACAGATTTTTGCTAATTACAGGAGGTTACTTTGACAGGAATAATTTAAATATTGTATGTAATCTACTGTGTGGATTTTGACAACTTGATCTTGTTTGACCCTGTAGTACTCAGTCTTTCTCTTGTGCTCAAAATAAAATTGAATGAAATTCGTGAAAGGCCATCTGGCAAAACATGCCTATCTGGATCTGATTTTTCTCCAGCCAGCCTTCTGGGTTTCCTTGCGCACTAGTTGACGTTCACAAGTTGATGCTCTCCTGTTGTAGCCTTCCATTTTAATCTGACACAACTATGGTTTTCTTACTGCGAAGTGTTTGAGGAAATTATTCATCACTTTGGTGAAATTGTTGCTTTAATTACATCCATTTCGTTTATCAAACTTTTGGATTTTTAGAGGTCATGCCTTAATTCAATCAAACATCTTCTTTATCCTTCTCTGCAAGCTATTCCCTACTTAGTTGTTTTAGAAAGTAAGTAGGACAGTATATATAGAAGCTCTTCATCACAAAAGTATTAGCACATAACTCACCAGAGTACTGATACTGAAAACCACCTCTCCATAAGGCTCACCAGCAGGTACCCCTATCCCACCGCTCATGGACGCAGGTGGATTTTGTCCTTCGCTGCAGCACCTCCTTCTCGCTCTGCGCCACGACAGGGTGAGGAGCAGGCTCCAAGGGCATCTTACCCGTGTTTTGTGCCAGCAGTTAACATGGTCCAGCGCTGGATCAGGTTCATCGCATTTTCACTGATTGCAACTGTGCATTATTTCTTTGCCAAAAACCATGTGGTGGGCCCTCTGCTCTGGCTATTTTCTGGATTCTCTTTTTTTCCATACTGGTGCTAATGAGTCCAGCTGTTTTCTGTGTTGCTCAGGACTTTCTTTTACTCAATGAGAAAAGCATGCCTCTTTTTTTTCTTGCCAGCCATGAATATGCACAGTGGCACAGGCAACTTGGAGCTATGCAAGTAAAAGATTAAAGTATACCTTAATATACTTTATTAAAGCCGATGTTTCATCAAATATCATGCTAGAGTTTTGTGATTGCTCTTCCATGACGGGACTCAAGGAGATCTCTTCCTGGGCTATAGATCTGATACCTTCCTCCTCTTTCCCGGATATGTTTTAACGAACACTTCTTAAAGTGGAGCTTGTTTGTATTCCTTTGTTAATATAATGCTACATGTAAATTGAAATTCTGCTTAGTAAAAATTTATCAACTTCTGTGGCAGGCTAAATGAAAGAAAAAAACAGTCTTACCAGTGGTGTCACTTGTTGCTATAAAGCAACAGCTGGTAACGTCCAGAGATTTCAGTCCAAATAGAGAAATTTTGAAAACTAACTTTTGGATGCTTATTACAAAATAGAATATAACATAATTTCTGGCAAAACTCTTGACAGCAGACATAATGCATCACTGCAATAGCCCAGACTCCGTGTTGTATGGAAATTCGCTCTGTGTAAAGTGCTGCAGACAGGGTCTGCTCACAGAAAACAAAAGATGACAAAACCAGAGACCGATGTGCTGATGTAACTGCTATGGCTGAGCTAGAAAAGTCATGATAGGATAGAGTTCGTGGATATGACTTAAAATTACTGTTCTTTAAACATGAAGGTAACTTAGTTCAAATGAAATCAAACTGATAGCATTCATCCCATCAATGTGTCCATTTGTGCTCCCCGTTCTGCAGACTGCACAAAATTGATATTTGTTGAAACCGCCGTTTCCCCAATTCCTCCACACTCACGCCTGAAGCCACGGAAATGAAAAGCAGAGATATCCAAGCTTTGGATCAGCCCTGAACACACTGTGAGAGTGTCCACAAACACATCTTTGCAACAGTCGAGGTGTTCTGTCTGAACATGAGGAAGAACTTCTTCCCTCTGAGGGTGACGGAGCACTGGAACAGGCTGCCTGGGGAGGCTGTGGAGTCTCCTTCTCTGGAGATATTCAAGACCCACCTGGTCAAGGTCCTGTGCAACCTGTTGTAGGTGACCCTGCTTCGGCAGGGGGTTGGACTGGGTGACCCACAGAGGTCCCTTCCAACCCCAACCATTCTGTGATTCTATGATTCAACAAGATCCCAGGGGTGTTTGAAGTTCCTCTCCTGGGAAGAGGGAGAAATAGGATCCCTCTGATAACCAGATCCCAGGGCAATCAGATCATTTACAGTAGCTCTTTACCTTGCTTGCACTCCATTTAAAACCGCATTTTTCTAACTCATCTCCTCCAGGACATTGAAAATAATGTTGCTTTCTCTGCTTTTTTCCCCCAGGAGTGACACAAAAGCGATGGGGCACTAACAGTCAGAGGACATGCACAGGCCTTCAGCGGGAGGGTGCTGCGGAGAGAAAATCAAGCTCTAGCAAGGTAAAATAAATAAATTATGTTTCGATAGCGGCCAGCAGAATGCATTCAGGTTTAAAAAACAATCACTGATTGCTGAGCAGTGTGTTTGGACTTGGTTTTGTTTAGCTAGGCTTAGCTTAGGCAGAAGAAGAGCCAAATAAAATGATGGCTAAATGTTGTGATTCTGTGTGCGCTTGGTGACGGGCAAGAAAATCGCATGTTTTGTGGGGGAAAGAAGAGTTCTTAAAAACACCCCAGGAGACCAAATTAAGTGGTATCCCAAATATCAATACACTCTGTCTCAGATGTTCTCGAGATAAAACCTGAGGTTTTTTAGTTCACCACAATTACTTTGTGCAAGTGCGTGTTTTTTTCACAAGACGCAGTGAAGCTTGAAAGCTCCCGACAAGCATAGGATCAGCTGGTCAAACCTTAAAGATGCATTTCTTTACCAAATATTGGGAGGAGGGAATGACACATATAGTCAAGCAGAAAAGTGAAAAGCAAATTATTTAAAATATTGGTGCAAGAGCTTGAAGCTAATCAGGAGCATTTTGGACATGCCTTTGGACTCTTGCAGGATGTCTCCATCTGTGCAGCCCTTAACAAAAGAAATAAATGTCAAATTAACTACTGGAGCATGAGAAGTGCATCCAGAATAAAGCATTTCAAGGAACGTTCTCTTTTGGTGCCCTGTAGAAATCTCAGGGAAGTCGAGAGTTTTGGAAGGCATGCAAAGGTCTTAAACCTCTAGGTAGAAGTAAATGCAGTGCAGAAAATAGGAGGCAAATGTTACAAACCATGAAAGAAACAAAGACGGAAGAAAACGCTTTCCCAGAGGCTGTGAAATTATTGAATTGTCAAAACCACAGGCTGCTGGTTTAAAGAGCTGATAAAATTTACTTGGCATTTCACCTTGTTAAGAAACTCTTGATCTACCTTTACATGTTTGGGTTCCCAAATCAGCCTTCCCAAGAGTTACAAAGGAGACCATTTTCTGTGTTCTGTCCATGCATGGAGCACAGGAGTGGTTTTCCCCATGAGTCCCATCACTGACACCCAAGCCCCGAGAAGGGTGACCGTGGCACCCAGGAGGTCACCGCTCTGTCACTCATGTAGTCTTCTTTGAGGAACAAGAATATTATGTTTTGTGAAATTCTTGTCAAGTGCTGGCATTGATTATCAGATGATAGAGGCTCAGGTATGACTGAGATGAATTCATAACAAGCAGGAGCAGTACAACTAGCAAATGGCATCTAAACCCCAAATGAACTTGGATGAGCTTTCATTATGGAGCTAATCCCCAAGTTTTGTATGCCAGTTCAGAGGGGCTTTTTCTGTTAGGATGAGGAGATTCAGGAACACAAGGCAGGAGCAATCTAGTCAGCCAGTTTACAGCAGCAATGAGATTATGCCAAATGCTTTCTAGCATGGGACTTACGTGACCAGCTGTGTGGATAATAATAGCAGGAGATTTTAAACTCAGGTTTACTCTTTGTCAGATAGCTTTAGTGTAAAAGCATCTCCTTTGTCACATCGAGTGAAGTAATGTACGGTCTATCAAGATAGATGTTTACTGTCATGGTTGGAAAAATTAATCTGGGCCACTATCAATCAATCTTGAACATATGTGGTTTTAAATCATTGATAGGTGCCACCAAGTAATGATAAGCAAGAGAGAACTAACGAATTAAAATAGTACCCAGAGCCCTTGTAGGAAATTATATCACACTTGTGGGAGGGATCATGGAGAAGTTTTTCCATGCTAATAGCTGATAAGGTTGTAAAGCAGTCACGACTCTGGTGCCCACACATCCTCTGCAGCATGTGATGGCCCATGTGGACCTTCAGGCTAATGTTCCGTGATGTGTTTAAATTCATTTTAAATTCTAGCAGACCATCATGAAAGAGCAGTTTGAAGTCTCAAACTGGAAATTGCCTTGGACATGTCCATTTTTAAACAAACATAACAACCAAAAATCCCAACTGCGACAATGGGTTAAATACTGAAAATAGCAGTAGAGAATACACAGTTTTTATTTTAATATGTTTTTGCACCAGAGTGATAAGGTTTGCATTGAAGTCTCCCAGACAATTCAGAGGTGATTTCAAGAGCATGTGTTTTTAGATGACAAAGAAGTTAGTAGGACTAGAAAGGTAACAAGAAATCTTGAACAAAACTGTCTGCTGTGATAGGTGGTAGAGGAGAAACAGTTACATGTATTATGATAGCATACGTTGATAATTTGAATCTTCTCATTTGCAGGAATCTCTGTCATCGCAAAATACAAAATTGATTTCACCGTTAGTCATTTCGCAGATGATTGAAGACAATAAATCAAAAGAAATTTGGCCTTCTTCGCCTATGCAGTCCATGATCCCCCAGCCCAGTGCTTATCACACAACGAAATCTTTGGCTAACCATGGTTCGATCAACACTAAAGGAGCATTTACGGTACTCACCAGCAGATTAGAAATTCAGGCATCTTTAGATGACACCACGTCTCCATCGGACTCTCCTATCACAGGGGGAAAACAGTGTCAAAGCCAGCAGAAAGGGTTTGCTTCCATAACTATTACAGCCAGGCGCGTTGCTGCAGGCTCCAGCGAGCCAGCGCGTGGACCTGGGGCTGTGCAAGAGCCCAACGCCATGTGTCCCACCTTGAGCAAAGCCCCTGCTGCTCTTCATCACTGGCCACCACTGGACCGAGCAAAGCATCGTTCCTTTCCGTTAAGGATTTCTAAATCCTACTCACAGTTAGGTGAAGAGCTACGGAAGCGTCTTTTTGACCCTGGAAACAAGGAGTACGGCGTGGGTCTTCAAAGCAGTGATGGGAGAGAGAAAGTACCACCTTCATTCATCTCATGCGTCCACCTTCAGGTTTCTCCGCAATATCCAAATACTATCTATTATTTAGACAAGTCGCTCAATGTGTGCATTGACCAACCTCAAACTAAATGCCAAAAAATTCACAGATCAGCGTTGTCCTTCAATATAAATTGCAGTTCGTCTAGATTAACAGCAGATGGAGTAGATGGCATAGCTAATGGTGAGCCAACAGAGGAGATATTGAAGACAAAGCTCCTCGGAGAAAACAAGACTCCACTCAGTTCAAACTGGAGTGCAGACTTAGCAGAAAATAATGTAATTAATAGAGAGACAACAAATGAAGGTTTTTTGCGTAGTAAGTACCCTTTGCAAAGTGTCTTTGTCTCTGAACTTCCAGCTTTTGTGGATATACCCAGAGGACCTAGTAATGTAGTAACAACAAAGAAAGATGATGATAAGCATTCTGACAGCTATCGCGCTACATTTTCTTTCCAGCTTCCTAATTCAAGTGATGAGGCAGGTAAGTAGCTTCCATAAACCTCAGTCTGGTGGAGCAGGGGTTCAGGCTGGAACAGACCCACCGCAGTGACTTTATGTGAGGAGACAATAGCAATCTTGGCTTCTGCCGAGGCACGGTGAGTCAGAGCACAACCTAGATGTTTTCAGCTCCAGGACTACCATGAATAGATTTGCCATGCTAGTGATGCCTGCTGCTCCTCAGATGACAGAGAAAACTCCGCCTGTGTTTTCTGCATGAAACCTCTATTTTTAACCGTTTATAACTGTAATTTATATTTTTTCTCCCAGCAATATGCAAGCACTTAGACCTAATTTTTTCAGGGGCTTTCTTTGTACAAAGGCTGAATTTCAAGGCATGAGATGAAGAAAGAAAAGGCTGCACTGAGCTTGGTTTTGTGCTCCTTGCTATTAAAAGTGATCATTTTCAGATTTTATTTAGAAGGCTATAGTAATCAGCCCGGGCCTTTATAACTAATGGCTCCAGATGGATGGTTTGCAAATCTTTAACACATTTATTTCAACCATCTCCAAGAATTTTGCAAACATAGAATTTTCTTTGCAATATTGCTCTCGGGGAAGGGAAAGGTACGGTGGGGATTGCTTCACGCCCAGAGTGGTATGGCTTCCGCTGCACTGCGCTGTGGCAGCTATTTTACAGTGAATTTGAATAACCACAGCTGAGTTTATTGTCTCTCCAGGAAGGGAGTGTGGATGGGAAGAATGTCAGCGAGTGAGTCTGGTTTTTACCAAAAGCACTAAAGTTAAAACTTACCCCTCCATGTATCCTGCGACCTTGGACTACATTTAATTGTCATTACCCTGTTCTTATATGGCCTTTTTAGTCTAAGGGTCAGTATACGACTGCTTCCTAAGATTCATCTGCACCTTCATCTGCCCAGTGCGTGCATGGAAAAGGGGAGGAAGATGAGAAGCTGCGTGCTGTCTCGTGGGCTGGGCAAGGCAGGGAACCCGGGCTGCACCGTCCCTTTGCACCTTGCTGTTACTGCTGAGCTCACATGGCTCTGGCAGTTACCAAGGTGCAAAGGGTGAGAAGGCACTGCTTTATTCAGAGGTGTCTTGCTATAAGAAAATTATCAACAGAGCCAGGATTTTCCATAGAGAAATCGGCGGTGTCAGTAACTCCAGAGTCAGGCCCCTAAACGAAAGCTGCATGAGTCCGCAGGGCGAAGCACCCCTCAGGCTGGCTGCTGAAGAAAGCCTGAGATAAAATACTGCTTTATAAGAGAATCCAGGTTTTTTGTTGCTGAAGGGGAGATGGCACAGTCGGGAGCAGGAGAGGGAAGATGCCAATCAGTGCTAAAAAAGGAAGAAATGTAAAGGGGTTAAGGTTGATGAGGATCTTCCACTGACTGATGTCAGCAAATTAAGCATTTCAGCTTTGGACTTCATTGCGTACCATCAATAACAATAACATATTTCAAATAACAATGTTCTCCAGAAGTTTCCGTAGAAAGTACTGTGCATTCAAGGCTTAGTTTGACACCGTCTAAGGTCTTTCTGTGATAAACCACAGAAACAAAAATTAGAATAATATTGAGCCTTCCCTAGGCTTGGTAATACAGTGGTGATCATGAAAGAATCAATTTTACTAGTAGTAATTAGAAAGTGAAATAGGACACTGCCCCCGGTTCCACAGTTTTACTGAAAAGATGGAAGAAGTGAGGTAACCAGCTGAGAAAGACTGCTTTTTGAAAAATTATTTCCGCCATTTGTGTACACAAGAATACAGGTGTAAATAAACATGGGAAGTGTCACCTTTTTAACTGCTTCCACCTTTTGTGTAAGCAATAATGTAGAACGTAAAGTTATGTATTTCTCTTGATCAGGCCCTTTGTAATATATAAGAAGGTGTTTATCAGCTTACTACAACTTTCCTGTGCGAAATTTCTACAAACAGCCAGAATAATGCTTCAAAACAACAGTCTTTCTCACCAGGATCCCCAAAGTAATGAGCTCTTGCATAGCCGTCAGGCATTAAATGTGACAAATCATAAGAAGCCTAGTTAAATGCAGGAGACATCCGCACTGCTCATTAAAATGAAAGGCAATTGGTATGATTTTAACCTGGGAGAAAATGAAAACGTGTTATTCTTTAGTTCTGAAAATGGATGAAGCGAGGGAGAGAAGTGATCTCCGAGGTCCAGTACTCCATTCTGCTGAAAATCTGGTACAGTCCTACAGCCTGTTACATGTTTGGGTTTTTTTTTTTCTGGACTAGTTTTAAATATCTAAAGACAGCCATAGGTGGGACACGGATGCGTTCCTGCTTTTTGCTGTGGCCCTTCTGTGTATAGAGCTCACTATGATAAGACCTGTATTGTGAGGTGCTGCTTTATGAGCACAGCAAAACTTTCCCATCAGTGAAGTCCTTTATACCATTAAAGTCCTTATAGATATTTTTCCTCCAGTGTCTGCTACCTCAAATTCATTCATGTTAAGCTTTGGTCTGCTATATGTTCATGCAATTAATTGTTTGTAAAATTACATATTTAAAAAGAAGGAAGAATTCACAAAGAAAGGGCAGCGAACAACTTTTGACACCATGTTAATACTTTCACATAGTTATCTTGTGGATGAAGGAACTGCGGAGAGTGCTCTGTCTGTCACATTTCTGATGACCCAGAAAGTTTAAGTTTATATTGGTTTGCAGCTGTAGGCAATAGCTTCCTGCCAGCAGAAATACAAATGGTAATAACATCACCATGGAAGAAAAAAAAAATGTAAAAATTACTTTCAAGGCTAGGCTTCTCTGTATGAAATCTGTAAATGTAGTTTCCAGGATGTATGGGCTGCTTTATTAGAATCTGAAGTGGAATGAGCACCCGAATACTTCTCTGCTTGACAGGTACTGGGGCCGGGTTTGCTGTTTCCTATAGGGCCGGTTGAGTCATGGCCTCTTTGGAGGGTCTTTTCCTAACTTTTCGTGTGACTTCACTGAAGCAGTGGTGACTCTGCTTACAGTGTTAATCACACTATTTCATGATCAAATCCAAGTACTCAGGATTTGGCTTTACATGGATCTGGAT